ATATTTCAAGCTGACAGTAGTTCTAAAGATTGGCTAATTTTAAGCGTTGGAAAAAAATATTGATTTATAAGATTTTTCAGCAGTTTTGCATTAGGTGCAGTTTTCTGCCTTAGGATACAAATGTGTGATTTTTTTATTAAAGGAACCCTAAGGGTTAATGGTATGAACCACTGAGGTTGCAAACAGACATGCAAGCCAACTACCTTGGATCTCGTCCTTTTTCTTCAGAATCTCAAACACCACAGTCCGCAGCTCGTCCACTGGCTAGAATAAAAGAAACGGGTGGAAACTTAATAGCAACACAAAAAGGAGCAATTCATTTTGGATTACAACATAACAAGTGTGTTGGGGAAATCAAGCTGCCAGGAACAATATAAAACCTGAACTACACAGAGGAGGATGGAACAATAATATTTTTTATATCAGAAGTGCAATTTATTTTGTTCTACAGACACATGAAACTGCTAACTACATGGTTTCTGAGCATTTGAAAAGCCATAATGCAATGTGAACACCTCTCTTATTGTTAGAAACAGTGATCTTTCTCTCAGAAGCACACTGAAATTAAAAACCCAGTCAGCTATCAGAGGTGAACAACCGTTTGCACAACCAAATTCTCTGCTGCTTTGACTTGTCACGGATGATAAAAAACTGAGCTGTTAGGTTCTAAGAGGTCAAGCAAAATGCTCAAGCTGCTCATCAATTACAGTAGGGTTACCACATTGGTTGTTTGTGTTGAATTCATTAGCTTATTATTGAAAAGAAAATGTCACAATTTGATCAGCTGAAAGAACGTCTTGTAGTTGATAACACAGCCAAAATTATTTTAAAATTCTATTACGATCTCCTAATATAATTTATCCATTGACTGGAGGTTTCTGATATCAATAAGGCCTCTAATATGGACATTTTATATCTATCTTAATATATGTAATTTCATTTTGAGAAACTATTTACAGACAAAATAAACAGGTGGCTAAATTAGACTAGACTTATGCAGATACATGTTTGAGAGTTTACAAAACCTGAAAACCATCGGCTGACATCTGTAGCAAAAGTTATATACGGAGCAAGACATTTTCTGTTTGAAAAATGAGCTTGTCAGTTTTCCCTGAAGGACAAACTGTGTTATGTTTCTCATTTACCTCAAGTATATCTTGGGCATTTCTTTAGTGAAATATCTTTTTACATATCAACAAGGATTGGGACGATATACAGTAATTTTGTGCACTGCAAATATTGCATTTTTGAGCTTTTATTGGGTTATTTTGATATTCTTTTTATTGTCCTATTATCAACTGTCATACATGCCAGTACTAAAAGACAGCATCTGTGATCAGTTAACAGTATAGGATACATAGTATATTTTTGGAAATTCAAATGAGAAACTATTACTAGAAGGGACGTCTGTTTTTTTCTAATCCAGTGCTTTCAACACATGTTGATTTAAAGAATTCAGCCATAACGGTGACCATAAGGCAATCTTTACACCCACATGTCTTACCTCCAACACAACACCAACAGCCTTTTCAAACATGGGCAGGACATCAAGGTCGCCCTCTTGTTCCATCAGACGGGCCTGACAGATCCAGTACTTGGCAAACTTCTGGGACACCGCTGGCAGCCGTGAAAGGACCTCCTTCACCTGTTCTGGAGGGCAACCCTGTTGGTGTGAGGCAGACAAAATCATTTACTGAAAGAAAGGGCATATGCTCTTAAAGTGCTTATTGTATTGAACCACATCTGAAACAAAGCCCATAAAACTACACCCAGATGTCCGCACCCCTAACTTCCAGTGGGATATTACAACAGATTAAAAGGCCAGATGAACAAGACATAATAACAACATGTACCTCTGCAAGCAATTTGATGCAGTCAACCAAAGATCTTTCCACGGCACAGATGAGGGAGTGAGCTTCGTCTTCCTCATTCATGGTGGTCCAGAAAGGCAGGGGCACAGCCACAGTGCGCTTGACCTGAGGTTTCACTGGCATTGGAGGACGCTTGTAGGAAATCCCCTTAGCTTCCCGCCATTCCTGTAGTTTTCTCCTTGAGACCAAATAATAGAGAAAAGGGTGCAGTTTTAAGGACCAAGGGTCAAATTGATTGGGAGATCTCTAATGAATATCTTCCCATGCGGATAGAGTTGTTCCGATTCCGAT